AGAGGGTGGACTTCAACTCCCAGAATCCCCCAGCCAGCTTGCTTTAAGAGGGGTGGACTTCAACTCCCAGAATCCCCCAGCCAGACAGCTTTAAGATAAGATTTCAACTCCCAGAATCCCCCAGGCAGCCTGCTTTAAGAGGGGTGTACTTCAACTCCCAGAATCCCCCAGCCAATATGCTTTAAGAGGGTGGACTTCAACTCCCAGAATCCCCCAGCCAGCTTGCTTTAAGAGGGGTGGACTTCAACTCCCAGAATCCCCCAGCCAGACAGCTTTAAGATAAGATTTCAACTCCCAGAATCCCCCAGGCAGCCTGCTTTAAGACAGGAGGACTTCAACTCCCAGAATCCCCCAGCCAGCAAGCTTTAAGACAAAACTTCAAATCCCAGAATCCCCCAGCCAATATGCTTTAAGACAGGAGGACTTCAACTCCCAGAATCCCCCAGCCAGCCTGCTTTAAGGGGGCTGTTTTTGTTTCCGATGATCAGGTGATGCTTGGCGGCGCCTGGTTTACATCCCACCTGGGTGACCCGGACACCATTCCTCACAGCGAGTTGTTAAGCAGAGCTCAGGCGGCTGTGAAGAAGCACCTCGGCATCTCCGCGGAGCCTCTTCGCTCCATCGTTAAAGTCCATAAGGTAAAGTCCTTTGAACTTATCTATTTATTTATTTTTTTCTCCTCTCCGACTCAAATAACTCTGCGAATTTTTCTCCCTTGTGCAGTCCTGCATCCCTCAGTACTCGCTCGGCCACTGGAAACACATGGGTAAGTTTTAAGGCTGGCTCTTTTGCGGCCAAGCTCACTTAACAACGAAAAGTGATTTGCTTAACAACCTTAGACAAAGCAGGGCACAAAATGGGATGTGACTCATTTAATAACTGCCTTGCTTAGCAGCGGCAATCCTGATCTCAATTGCAGTCATAAATTGAGGACTTCTTTCCTCTCCTTTCCTTTCTCCTCTTTCCTTTCCTCTATCTTCCTTCCTTATTCCCTTTCCTTTCTCTTCCTTCCCTTTTTCCTTTCTCCTTTCCCTCTTCCCCCTTTCCTTGCTCGTCTTTCCTTTCCTGTTTTCCTTCCCTCTTCACTTTCCTTTCTTCCCTTCCTCCTTTCCTTCTTCCTTTTCCTTTCTCCTTTCACTATTCCTCCTTTCCTTCCTCNCTCTCCAAGCCAGATAAGGTCTGTGACCATAAATCCTCCCTTGAAAAACTTTGCTGGAGGTGAATGAGCAGAATTCACAGTCAATTAACAAAAGGGTTTTTTGTCGGGACAAGGAGTTGGCTTCAGGCTCTTGGTCAGAACAAGTGCAACACACACACACACATACACCTATACCTATACCTACCTGTTTGAAGGAAATAGCAACCTTAAATGAAGCAGTGTTACTTGGTTGATGGCTTTGGTGCACCTTTGAGGACTAGAAACTTGCGACGGCCAATCTGAAAACAAAAAATCCTGATATTACAGCCTTTTTTTTTTTCCTCTCCGCCCTCCCAGCTCTGGCTGACTTGCTCCCTGCCGGATTCGAACCCCTTATCCAAGACCTGCTGGCTATCCGAGCTGTTTCCGTCGCGGTGGTGAATCTACAGTACGAAAACGCACAACTTCCTGTCACGGTAACTTTTCGGCTAATGTAATTCCAAAGAAAGGAAAAAGCAGATACAGAAAAAGGCCAAAATCCCACCACAACCAAGTCACATGGGGGGGAAGCCAATTCGCTTAACAACCATTGCGATTTGCTTAAGGACCACATCCAAAAGGGTCCTAAAACAGGCTCCGAACTCATTTAATGACCAACTTGCTTAGCGACAGGCATGTATGACTTTCAGGATCTTATGGATAAGGCTTCCAAACAAGCTACGGAGTGGTGATTTTTAAAAAAATTTCTTTGATTGCTTTGGTGCAGCTTTGAGGACTAGAAACTTGCGACGGCCAATCTGAAAACAAAAAATCCTGATATTATTTTTAATTTTTTCCCTCAGGGATTTGGGCACTTGGTGCCTTCGTTTGAGGATGGTCCCTTGTTGGGCATCGTTTATGACTCGGTGGCATTCCCCCAGCAGGATGGTAGCAAAGACTCTACCACTCGACTGACGGTACAAAGGGGGGGGGATTATGGTCTCTTAATCTTTCCCCGCGTTCTTGTTGGATTTTTTTTTTTTTTTTTTGCAAATAGTTTTTTTTTTTTTTCCCTTTCAAATTCATTTGTAGATATACATTCTTATAATTGCTATTTAACATTTATCTATTCATCATTAATCTCTATATTCATTTTTACATATATCTATCTATCATATATCTATCTGTCTGTCTATCTATCTATCTTATCTATCTATCTATCTATCTCCCTCATCTATCTATCTATCTCTATCTTATCTATCTATCTATCATATCTGGATGTCGACGCCCAGAATCCCCCTGCCAATATGCTTTAAGAGGGTGGACTTCAACTCCCAGAATCCCCCAGGCAGCCTGTTTTAAGATGGAGGACTTCACCTCCCAGAATCCCCCAGCCAATATGCTTTAAGAGGGTGGACTTCAACTCCCAGAATCCCCCAGCCAGACAGCTTTAAGATATGATAGATAGA